GGGGGGGGCAGGAGCGAGCAGAAGGGCATCTGGCGCTGGGGGCTGGAAAGAAGCGGGGTAGGGGAGGGGAGGGGCGAGTGGTGGCGTGGGAAAAATGTGACGCCGCCCGCAACCAGTCGAGGTATGGGTCCGCCGCGAGCGGTCGGTCGCTGTACGCAAAACATTAAACTGTTTTCCATAAAACGTTTAAACTCTTTCGATTCCATTATTCATCAGCGCCTGATTTACAGAACATCATCTCATCGTGGCCCTCATGTCCTTACTCCCCCCCCCCTCTCTCTCTCTCTCTCTCTCTCTCTCTCTCTCTCTCTCTCTCTGTATCACAACAGAAGAATATTTTCCGGGAAGGACGAGTTTCGCGCGTAGGCTGGAGCCCTTACGGTCGTCCGCACGTCGGCGTTGCATAGCAGGCGTGGCGGGGCGGGGCGTGGAGCGGCGGGTTTGGGGAGCAGGCTCATAGAATTGCTAAGCCGGACCGATACACGCCCTCTGCCGGCGCACTGCATAGCCAGCGCTAGCGACCATCTCCATCGGCAGCAGCACGCTCCACAAATGCGCACAGCAAATACAGGGCTGCGCTTGAGCTTAGCTCCAATTTTTTTAAAAAAATAGGAAAAGGTTGTTAAATGAAGTTGCTTTAACAACAAAGAAAAAAAGAACGTCGACGAAAAGTCTTCAAGATTTCTTTGAGAATTTGAGCGCGATCGCTGGAGGCCCTCCTACACTACGACACCAATGGACGGACAGTGATGCCCATGGGAGACAAAGGGGGGGGGGGGCAGGGAGGGAATTGCTACTTCAGGGAGCCTCCGGCTGTTAATTAAGTGAGACCGAGAACACACACACACACACACACAAGAAGAGAGGGAGAGGTGAGGGTAGAAAAAGAGTAATCCAACGAGGAAAAGGGGGGGGGGTTGCGGGGAAACTAAAAAGAGTGTAGCAGTGGCCTATTTAAAGTCCCGCCTTCCCTAGCGGGAAACAGATTCATTGTACCAATTGTCCCAGCCAGCGGGCTTTTGGTGTGACCCGCCTGCAGTACGGAGACCAATAATGACGTGTACCAATCAACGACAAAAATATCATTTTTTACTTGCAGAACACGACACAAGCAATCTGATATCTTTAAATTTTTATATATTTCTGTTAAGTTTCAGTATAAAATGTTTAAAGAATACCATCTGCTTAAAACGAATGCTTCTATTCGTACAAATAAAGTATACAAACTCAGTTAGTGTGAGCACTGGAAACGCAAGTGTGTGAATGTCGCTCACCTGCAGGTGTGTGAATATCCATTCGTACACTTACGGGGGTAAACGTGTGAATTTTCTACGAAAAATTCACACCCGTCTAAGTGTACGAATGGATATTCACACACCTGCAGGTGAGCGACATTCACACACTTGCGTTACCAGTGTACACGCGCCGGCCATGGGAGGGGTTTCCTTCCCCTCCTCCGACCCCTCTTTCATACGCACGCACACTTAAATCTTCTGATTTTATTTGTTCGTAGCTTATGGGTTTCTCTGCATGCTCCACAAACCCTCTTTCCACTAAAACAATATAATCAGGTTGAGAGTGGCATTGATCCGCTCCTCGTCAGTTTACTCGTCACCATTGGCCGTCCCTCGGCTCGATAAAGTTATGTAGTCGGCCGGTCGGTGTCCCCCGATACGAGTCAGTGTTTCGGTTGGCGTTTGGCATTCTTCTGACGCGTAGAGATCGAGTCAGAAAAGCAATACTATTTGGTGCGTCGTGACTCAGCGACGATGTCTTCCTGTTAGTCTGGTCCAGTGTTAGGGCAGCACGGCCCGGATGTGCGCGGGGCGTGCGTCCTGGCAGGGGTCGGCACATGGCTCCGCCCGAGCGTGGCCACTATGTGGCCGTGCCCCGCCGCCACCTGGTGTGGACCGCCATCCGGCCGGCGCTCCGCATCGCGCAAATCTGGTCCCTGCTGTTCATCAATCTTACGTCACCGACAACCAAGTGAGTGAAAATACTGCGGTGAGGGGTTGTGGGCAATGCAATAATCATGCTTCCTCCCCCACAAATTTTAAAAATCGGAGTTTGTGGGGACCTCATGATATTTGAAGTGACATGTCAGTTCGTGGGAAACTGACTGATAATAAGACGGGGGAGAAGAATGAAAATTTCATGTCAATATGCCTATTTAAACCAAAACGACTCCTTTTTTTCCCGGCCTGACTTTTCACTCCGGTGTACAAAAATCATTATTTCCCCTCGGGAGCAGTTTCGAAAATATACATATGTATTTATATTGACCCATTCGCCTCCGCAGGCTGCTGACGTGGCACGCAGCGTACGCCGTCCTCATGACCGTCTTCATTATGGTCATGGGCGTCGGCTTTGTTGCAGAATTCTTACAGAACCCTCCTTCTAAGAGGCAGGGGGACAGCTTCAGGTTCTTAGGTAGGAGAGTTTTTGCCGTCAATAGAGTATTAAGAAGAGTAATGCTTTCTGCACAGTCACTGTTTTACTCTGAGAGGTTGACGCCATCGTAGTTTGGATTTCATTGCCTATCAGACAACGCACTCTCACACCCTCGTAACCTCACAGGCGCACTGTTAAATCCTTACAAGCAAAGTAGTTTCTAAGCTTCCGAAGCATTTCGTAGCTTTGTAAAACAAAGCATTGCTTTAAGGTTTTAACAGTGCAGATTTGTTTGCAGCGTTGCGATCAAGTGTCATTCCGTTTCGCAATCCTTTTCAGTGGCAGTTCCTGCCTTCTTCGGGTTCATGGCGATGGTGCTGCTGTGGGTGCGGGTCGCGGGCCGGTGGACCAGGCTGTGGGCTCTCGTGGACGAGCTGGAGGACCGGCTGTGGGGGCGAGGGGTGCACCGCCTGCCGCGGCTGTGCCGGCGCGCCCGGAACTCGGCGTACGCCTTCGTTCTCGTCAATATCGGTGTGGCAAAGCACGCACTGCAAAGCCAAGTGTGTACATAGTACACTCGTCCTTGTGTGTACTTGAAAGCACACACAAGGAAGAGTGTACTGTGTACACACATGGGTTTATAGTGTGGAGAAGCAAAATTAACTGTAAAGCTGAAACCCATATTGGTAAATGCGGGATGACCCATTATAGCTACTTAGCGCAACACTAAGCTATGTACAACTAAATAGATACTTTTTTTTTAGTTCTTTAGCAATTTTTTTAGCTCTAGGTTATATAGTTAATTAATGTTTCAACAGTGCAACAGACCCACGTGCTGATACGCAGGCTGCCCGCGTCAAGCCTGTACGAGTGGTCTTTGTTGATCTGCACCCTGTGCTTCGGAGGGGTGTTCAACTTCAGCACCCTGCTCCTCATCGTCCTGAGCCACGCGCTGGCAGAGTGCTTCCGCGCTTTCACGGCCATGCTTGAAAGCGCCGCCCGGCAGGTATCCGCGACAGGAAGACCATTATAATGTGAAGCAGGCTGGTACGCATCACAGCTCCCCCGTCTACTAGACTCAAAAACATCGCTACAACCGGATTTCCAAAATCGGCCTCGTTTTTATCAAAACACGAATGAGTTTTTTTTTTTTTTTTTTTACCAGCAAACTAATGATACTCTTTTAAATCGTCAGTGTGATGGTCAGATCCCGACGGAGGCGGTGGAGGACTTCAGAGTCTTGTACAACAAGATGTGTGGGCTAACGCTGGCCCTGGACCACTGCGTGAACCCCGTAATTCTCGTAGCCATTTTCACGGATGGCGTGTACATCTGTCGTTTTGTCCTCCTATCATTGGCGTAAGGTTAAATTTCATCCGAAGTGGACACTGAAAAAATCCTCTTTAAATAATGATATTGTCGTTGTAAAAACTGTTTGTTTAAAACTCTAATACAAACCCCTTTTATCCTGCAATTTACGATAAAATTTTACAGTTTGTCTAAATTTAATTTCCTACTAATTTAAACTTGGTTTTAAACTGCAGATTTTTTAGACACTGCAGTAATGTGGCCCTTCTGTAACGTGCGAGCTCAGGACATGGTTTAAGGACCACACGCCCCTTTTTGCCAGCAGGGTCTCAGCTCAGGACTGGCATTCGTCCACATTGATGACCATCTCTTTCTTACGGTTCGTCTGGACGATCCTCGCCGCTTCGTCGGTGCACAGTGAGTGGCAATCAACGAAATTATGCCTGCATAGAATGGTCTCGTGCAGGGGTGGAAAAGAGGTACAGCAGCTGCTCTCTATTTTTGCACTAATATTATTTGCAATCAATTTGTGGTTGTATATTTATGTGATGCTCATCAAATTTTAGTTATGCTTACTTTTATGTTCTATTAGGCCACGCGTTTCTTCATGCAGATCGTCACTGATCGGATTTCTCTGACAGCTTTAGAAATGGTACCAATCACTAAACACCTACTGCCTACGGTAAATATTTTGTTTAATGTTAATACCTTAGTACACGTTATTACACACTCTTTTTAGCGTAATTTTTCATCGTTTGTGCGAAATATGCTATAAGGGCACAATTACGCTTGATTCCTACCATAAGCACGCGTTATTATGCTGTTAGTACGAAGTTAGTTCGTCTTTGGTACAGGCCTGGGTGTACGAGTACGCAAGTGATTTCTCTCTCGCCTCTCCTTCTATGTTTTTGTTGTTTCGTAATCATGTCAGTAGTTTTCTTTGACGCTAACCGTCTGCGCACTTACCTTTACAGGTGTTGGGCGCAATACTATCGTATGAGATCATCCTCGTCCAATTTCAACTACAAAAGTTGAAGCGAGTATTTAGTAGTCAAAAATCCACTCTTACCTAGCGTTCCATGGTTTTTCCCGCCCACACAATAATAAGGACATGTGAACAAAATAATGCCAACCCAATAAAAAGGAGACACATTAAAACAAATATATCTTAATACATTTCATAAAACGCCAAATTAATCAATTATTTTTATTAAACATTGAATATGTTGTGTGTTCCTGAAGACATTACTGCCATTGACCTGCACGTCCCGGCCCACACGGCTGATTTCCTTGCACTCTCCGTTATTAATCGGCTCGATTCGGTTCGCCGAGGTTCGACCCTAGACACCGCGCACGGCGGTGGCCACCGACCCGCCCGCTCAGTCAGGGTGGGTGCTGCCGCGACATTTCAAACGATTTTAAATCGAAAGGCATTGTATTGTTTGTTGAAAAACAACTGCAGGGCTAAGAAACAGACAATCCCCTCGATCAGGTCACAAAGCCGACTCGCGCGCAGTCTTGAGTGGCATTGATGGCATTGCGTGGTATTGATCCGCACTTCGGCGCTCGTCCATTTACTTATCACCATTGGCCGTTCCTCGGCTAGATAGAGTTCTGCAGTCGACCGGTTAGTGTCCCCCGAGTCAGTGTCTCGGTTGATGTTTATCATTCTTCTGACGTGTAGAGAGCGAGGTAGAAAAGCAATAATTGTTTTACGTGACTCCGCGACGTTGTCTTCCTGTTAGTCTCCTCCAGTATAGGGCAGCTGGACCCGGATGTGCGCGAGGCTTGCGTCCTGGCGGAGGTCGGCGCATGGCTCCGGACGCACGTGGCCACACTGTGGCCATGCCTCGCCGCCACCTGGTGTGGAACGCCATCCAGCCGGCGCTCCGCATCGCTCAAATCTGTTCTCTGCTGTTTATCAGTCTAGCGTCACCGGTGACCAAGTGAGTGAAAATACTTAAGAGGGATAGGTTGTGGTCAATGCGATCATCAAGCTTTCTCCCCCACAAATTTTCAAAATCGGGGTTTATGGGGTTCTTGTGATATTTGTAGTGACGGGTCAGTTCGGGGAATACTGACAGAATGAGAGGGCCCGGGGGGGGGGGGGGGGGGGGATGAAAACTTCATGTCAATATGCCTATTTAAACCAAAAATATTTTGTGACTATGTCTGCCACGAAAGAAAAGGTCTGTCACTTCCCCCCGCCCGAAACGCCTCATTTTTTCCCGGCTGGAATTCTCCGGGGTAAAAATATCATGGCTCCTCTATGAACTCGAATAGTGACGTCACTTTTCGAGGGTCCCTAAACCGATTGAGGGCCATGTTGTTTGTACCCCGTTTTTTCCTAAGGTGCCATTTCGAATATGTATATTTATAATTACCCCTTCGCCCCCGCAGGTTGCCGTCGTTGCACGCAGCGTACGCCGTCCTCATGACCCTCTTCATTATGGCCATTGGTGGCGCCTTTGTTGCAGACTTTTTGCAGACTCCTCCTTCTGAGCGCCATCATGACAGCTTCAGGTTCTTAGGTAGCAGAGTTTTTGCCGTCAGGAGAGTACTCAGAAGAGCAATGCTTCCTGCCTGAACAGTTTCTGTTTAAACGTCTAGTTGACGCCATCGTAGCAATCGTAGTTTGGATTTCATTGCCAACGTACCCAGAGAGAAATAGGTCGTGGAAAAGACGTGGATTCCACGTGGTTTCGTGGACGTTTCGTGGTGGTGGATATACATCCACGAGATATCCACCACTATTTACCTTTCTAAAAAGATGCAAATAAAATCAGAAGAAACCATTTTTGCATCAACATTTCTCACTAAATGGGATTTTTATTGTTCTGAACGCCATATTTCAGTATATTGTCAATTCGACGTGGAATCCACGTCGAATCGACGTGTATCAGTTCGTCTGTCGTGTACACGTCGATTCCACGTTGATCTCACGTCGATTGCCTCGAAACCCTTAATTTAGTTGCTCGTACCAGTTCGTCTCAAATACCTATGCTTCTCACTTTAAAACAGCGCCAACGAAACTGTTAGACATTTATTCTGTGACAGGGCACACGCTTTTCATTTGTCATCTTCATTGAAGAATACTTAGAAAGTGTTCCTGACAGAACACCTTTCAAAATATTCCGCCACGACACCACAGAGAGTCTCGTTTCAAACGGAAACAAGCTGGGCCCGCTCTTCCGCCAAACCAAGTTGCCAGCTCCGCTTCGCTCCACCGGCAACTCGGTTCGGCAGGGAGCGGGCCCAGCTTGGCCTGCCGGCGGCGTTTGGAACGGGCCTTCGGCCCGTCCCTTCTGAATTTTCATGGTGTAATACATCTTTTATCCGAAAACGGGCCTTCGGC